CTTATGATTGCCTGTTGGGCGTAGTCTACACCCTCTAGTCTCCTATACCAATAACAATCCATTGTTTTTATTGTCACTTTTTCAAATTCTTATTTGTAACGAACTTTAGTTTTATTTCCATTTTTCTTTTAGCCCCTGAAGATGATTTATTTTCAAACCGAAATATTGGGCAATTAATTTAAATATATATATTTTCATATGGTCTTATTCTTTTGTTTACTTCTTCATCGCCTTGCCGTAAGGATCTGAGTTTGCCGTTTCATATTTTTCTACAAGTTTAATTGTACTGATCATGATCCAGGTCTACAACTGGGAGATCCGGCACCACTCATTGGTTTGTTGCTGTGGACTTGCTGTCATTTTGATAGTCTAAAATTAACAAAGTCACAATTTCTTATGGTAACTTTTGCTACAAGGTTATACTCGATTTATTTTCCATTGAAGCAGACCAAGGACAGTGTTAAAATGTGTATTTAAATTTTCATTACGAATGTTTAGCAAAGCTACAAGTCTCAGGATATACAGAAAAATAAGTTTAAACATAAACTCTTGTACACAGATAGATATTTTTCGGCAAGGAAGAAGAGAGCGTAAAAATGACAAATATGAAACCTCATTCAAGCGACATAATTTCCACATCATTATAAATCGGTCAAGTTTCCATTGTAAATATATATTTTTTTCAATTCTTGCCTGCCCGCAAGCGAAAATACTCGAAAAATAGCCAAGAATCACACGACTTCAACCAAGAGCTAAATTTTATGTACAAAAATGCAAACGAGGACCGACGAGGTCAACTGAAGTAATACATGAACTTTGAAATTTAAACTGATTCGCAAAGAAAAACATCCATGTAAAACCGACCTTTTGGGATGGAACTATTAACTTAATCTTCACCCAGTTTTTTTCCAAGAAATAAGATGAGAAAGAATTAAGTAAGCTTTGCGCGGTTTCAAGACGAGTTGAACTCAATTTGCACGTGGCTGCACACTGCGACGTAAAACTAGTTTCCTTGTACATAAGCGACGTTTGATGGAAGACGTTAAAAGCCGCAAGAAATTAAATTTTACGTTCAGTATCTGAACTTGAGTGCGCAGTACCGACAAATTCAAAAGCCAGAAATTCGCCGAAATATAAAGCTTTATAACATTTCGAGCAAGTTTGCATGGGGGTGATGTTTTTGCTGTTGCAATGCTCCCTAACAAGAAACTTTGAGCAGAAAATAGGAAGAAGAGCTCAGTCCAAAATCTCTAGCAAAACCGATAAAAGGAAAGCTACACTTACGTGTCAGTTGATGGACCGCTTGACTTAACCGGCTGGGAAGTCGCTCACCGTGGTCGAACCAACCAAGTCGTTGTGGGTCGTTGGTCGCAAACCCCAGCAATGGATGAAACAGTTCTCGGAGTATTACTGGATGTAGGTTGTTGCTGTTGTTGAATTCTATTGTGCCATTGTAACAAAATAGGCAGGAATAATTACGCATTGTGGATTACAATGGTATTTTTGGAAACCGGCCATTGCGCGCACGTGCAGTTCGTGCAAGGAACCAAGGATAATGTGAACGACAGGTTTACATAAAGCTCTCCTCGCAATTCCGCGCATCTGTTGGAAATAGCATATCAAGACTCAATTTTAAGATCCAAAAAAATCCTCGACCTTATTCGCCTTTATTTAAAAAAAGGTGTGGTAAGATTTCCTAACACCTCATACATGTTTCGACTCTATTCATATTAGCTAGTGATGAAATTGTTGCGTGCATAACAAATTTATGGGGTCTTGACCACTGAGATATAAAAAAAAATTTCGTGTGTCCTCAGATGCTTTTGAATTCATTAAAACTAAGAACATTCGCAGCAACGCTCAAAATCTTGTTGTGTTGTGAAACTTTTTTTGAAGGATTTTTTTGCTAAGTTGAACACATCAGCTCCTACACAACTGGGTAAAAAAAAAAACACGTGAATTGTACTGTTTGTTTACTTTCACAATGTGGTGAGTGGTTGAGCCGATTTGAGTTTTTTTAAGGGGCTATTGTTTATTGGAAGGGGGAATCCTAGCCAAGCTCTTCCTCGGGGTCTTCTAGTTTTCCAGTACGGCGCGCGGCCGCCGTCATATTGGAAAACGAAAAGACCCCGGAGACGATGCTGCATCCTAGCACCCGCAGGATCAAGGAAGATCGATCCGAATTTGGTATTTGACTTGGCAAGCCAACATGGATGAAAGAAAGTCTGATTTTGTACAATTTTCCTAGACCTATTAAATTAAATCAAAATCTGGGATAGAGTAAAAAAAGCAGGTGATACCAAAAACAGAAGGAATTTTCTTGTAGATAGCTCTTACAACTGTCATATCGATTTTTCATTTTCCCCTGACGGGCATTACTGAAAAATTAATATGTCGAAAAAATTGTATATAACTACATGTGAATGTTAAAATAAAATCAAAATTCTTGTGTTCCATTATCGCTCTTAGTATATCGAACTGTGCTTACTTTTTACTTTTCAGTGTTGTTATTGTTTTTGCCGCGGCTTGCTTGTCACGGAATTCCTAATAAACGTAAGCCAACAAAAGCAATTGTGGTATTAAAATTTCATCACAATCCTCTGACTTAGCCTGCACACCAACTACTGATTTCGCCTAGCCTTCGAAAACAGCCATATCGGCGCTGTTCTCGCAGGCTTCTGATCCTTGAAGGGATGACCCAGATGTTCCGTGACTAAACTTGTTACCTTGAAGGTACATTTTTATTTGAAATAAGATTTTTTACGTTAGAACGCAGTTATTTGATCGGTAGGATGATGAAAATAGGAACAAAAACGATGCAAACAACTATAACAACAACAACACTAACATGAAAAGGGGGGGGGAGGGGAGACAAGTAAATATTACTTCGTTTTCATGGTAGAGTAATTATCCAAAACCTGATTTATGACTGAAGGCAAAACAACAGCAGCAAACCGATGACGGACTTGAGTCTAATCTTGCGGTAGACTGCGACTACGAGCTGGCTGGGATGAGAAGTGGGGGCCCTGAGGGAAAAAAAGACTGTAAACAGGAGGGTGATGGGCTCCTGCTGTAGACTGTTTAGCCTGTACATAGACGTTGTTTTATTGTTCTTTTCATTTTATTCGGAAACATCGGCGAGCAAACAATCCCCCACGGCTTTTATTTTTTATCACGCGCGCTCAACGAACTTTGAAGAGAAAATGGAGGGTCTGTGAACAGGCTAGGATATGTTGTTGGTGGTTGTTGGGAAGCGTTTTCTTGTCTATTATCCGTGTGACATATTCATTATTGCGATATCAAGGCGGTTTAAAAACAAAGTATCAAATCAGCTGCAGCCTGAACAAAGGAAAACAAAAATACAGCAAAAAAAATTGAAAACACAGCACAATGAACAAGGCAGAGCGCAAATTAAATGTACGAAATTAAGTCTGAAGGATGATGATCCAGGTATGGCATGGACTCTGGGGAATTATTCCAGTATGGACCAGAATCGTCATTCAATACACCTGGTTTGGTCAGTATACACAGAGTATTTCTAGGCGTGTACTTTCGCCTTAATAGGCCATTTGCACTAAGAGGCATGTGACACCGTTTTTATGAAAATGAAAGGTATATGATTTTGCCTTCGAAAAACGGTTAGTGGGTCATATCTTAAACAAAATAATGGTGATTTGGTTTTTCAAACCCGCACCATTTTCTTAAAATGAATAAGTTCGTAAATGGTCACGTGACCAAAATGTGATTTTTAAAATTATGAATAACCTCTCTTTGAACACAAATTTTGCACTTAAACTTCAAGGAAAATGTTGAAAAGATGATGTGACAACGTTTACAGCACATTTGAGTGTAACTATGAAACGTTGAACAAGATATAAGCAAGAAGTAGTTTTGGCCGCCATGTTGGAGGGCAAGAGCATGCCCTCCAACATGGCGGCCAATACAAATCATACTTCTTTGCTGAAAAATCAAAGTGCCACAAAATATCTCCCTTAAATGCATTTCCTCTCAAATTTCGGGTGTAAGATAATTTTTGTGTGCTCTAACAATTTTTGGCATCAGCAAGATTCCAACTCATTGTTTAAAGGAAGCATTGGTCACGTGACCTCTTAGTGCAAGTGGCCTATTGTTCCTCACTCACTGCAGGAAATATCCTCATGATCTTCATTATCCAGATTATCCTCGTTCTCATCGTTGGCGTTGGAGGAAGTACTGGCTGCAACACCTCTCTCTTTGCCTACAATCATGGACAAAAGTCCTTGGGACAGTAATGCAATATTGATATTTTTCTGTCAACCTCGTCCCCAGGGCTTTCCTTTTTTTAAGGGAAAAGCCCTGGGGACGAAGTTGTGACTCTCCAATCTACGCTTGACTCTCGTGCTCCCATCATGACAAGAGAGGTCCGTGATCGTCCCGTCCCTTTGTTTGATTTTGTATTTACAGTCGAACTCTGCCTCGTACCCAGACGTCTCTCTCTCGATGAAAATGTGCGCGCAAAAGAAGGCGAGAAGGAGACGACGGGCTCACAACGGGCGAGCTACCTGCTGTCTGTACGCTTCCCATGTTCCCTTGCGGTTCATCACCAGTCGCTCGCGTTTCGCGCTCGCCTCTACGATTCTCTACGATGCGAAAACGGACCCAAACCGCTAAAAGCCACCTCTCTACAAAGGTCGCTTTGTTTCGTCCCGGCGGACAGAAAATCCATACATTGACTCTTGTTTAAAACCTCTCTACAACGGCCACTTTCTTCTGTCCCCTGGCCGTTATTTTCCTTTTTCAAAAAAAAAAGAAATATATTTTTTTCAAACAAAGGCTGCCGTTAAAGGTGAAAAAATGAAAAATAAAAATAATCAAGCTAAGTAAACAAAAACTGTTGTCATATAGAGAACAATATTGCCAAAAAAAAACACCCTCCCCTCTCTTACCTTTCAGACTTTCCCCAAGTATGGTGGGCTCAGGGTGGGCTGATCACAGTGTTTTGGTGAATGTCACATGACAATGTCATTTTCAAGAATTTTCCGTGGTTTTCGCTGTACTATTAAATGTTCATAATCATTCAATGCTCGAATTAGACAGGAGAATGCCTTCCAAACAAAGTGATAATGTCAGTTTATGGAAACCCTCCAAAGCAAGATACGAATTTCGAACAAATCCCGAGTGGCAGGGGAAAACAAGTTCTGGATTTTGCATGGGTTACCTCCAGGCGAATTTAGCGATTCTTACAAGTTCTTTGGCGAAGGATTTTCAACGTTTTTGCGAGCTTAACAATGCTCCATGTCCGTTATTGTACAGAAGCAAAACTGGTGAACTATCAGCTGGATTTCTTGCTCCTGACTCTGATGTAAGGTACAATGAAAGCTCCTAATGAATCGCTTTGCCCTAAAGGACAAGTAATTCATGTAGACTACCATGAATTACTTGCCCCTTGTAGGCTCGGGAATGGGTTGGTTACCGTGGTGGAAAAAGGGTTCTGCTTCAATCAAAAAGTGCAAAGGAAAGTATATCCATTTATAGCCAGTTTAAAATAAACCAAACGTTTCCGTTTCCACATCGTTGATTTACATGCGACATTTTTATTCGTAAGGCTAACCCTATTTGTGGGCAATATGAGGTGAATCCTGAGTTCTGATAGGCTACACAAGTTGGCCAGATGGGCCAGCTCAGGATTAACCACTTTAACCCACGGGAAAAGATTTTGTTTTGGGTATATTATGAATATCTTTATTCACAAAGCTTGTTCAGTCAAGATGGCTTGGATATTGGCCTCTGACTCTTATTTTGCACAAGTTAACCTCGACTTTGTCTTACAATGCACAAAAATGGATAAAAAGAACTTGGCCAATATCACATGTCCCACCATCTTAACGAATGCATACTTGGTCAGTAATACATTTACTGTTAACTCTGAAGCACCGCATTTCCTCCCCAACTGGCACAAATTTACACTGCCTTGAAGAAAGTGACAAGATTCCTTACTATTTATAAATCTTATATACTGGTATTTTTAACTTTTGACGTAGACAAGATAGGGAAAGTCTGTCTACACCTCTGAAAAAGTGTCTTAATATTAGGAAAATTGCCAAATTTCAAACTGATACATCTTAAATGAGCAAATTAAGATAAAGCTTCCCAAACATGCGAACATTTGCAGATGTTTGTATGGTGGGGCTGGGGCAAGTTTGTGCCCCCAAAGATACATATTTTTGTAAAATTTAGTGACTTTGAGGAGATATATTTTCATCAGTGTTCAACAAATCACTTTCAAACTGACTCAGTTTCTTCTTGTCTGTTGCTAAGGATGACAAGGATGGACATGGCCTGGGGGGAGGGACTTTAGCAATTTTGGGGTGGGGATGTGCTGCTGGGACCCTGGAACCCTTAGCCTATACCAGAGCTAGTTCAAGTGAATTTTGCTACCCTATACTAAACTAAACCCCAAAAACCCCCCCCCCCCCTTCCTAAAGTAGCTTTTTTTCAGAAACTACTGAGGTCACTAGCACGGTCCATCCAAAACAGAACCGATTTGATATTTCTTATATTTTTGAGTGGCAATTCCCAGTTTCCCTAGTCTAGACTTAAGTCTTCAACCAACTGATCAGTTTCCTGGAAAATAATGCCCTATTCTAGACCTAAACTCTCTGATTTATATACCCTATCCCAGAGTAAACTGCTTGAAAACCATACCCTTAACATAGCCCATATATGCCTCCAAATATGCCTCCAAAACAAAAATCACTAACATACTTACTATGTTCAATGCTTCCTGATGAAGTTTGTTTGATATCTTCTAGGCATTATATTGTGTACGGGTGATAGCACTAAATAGCCACTTTATCTCAGAATTAACCTAAAACAGCAATATCCTTTTGCCATAACTGTTAAGGGGTCAAAATTATATTCGGTTTGAAATTTTTAACCTACAATCTTGTACAAAAAGTGTTGACAGAATTTTGCACTTTCTTACCCACAGAACTCCTATCCCACGGATATTTAAATTGGTACTGCTATGGCCCCCCTCCTCGGCCCCACCCTGGTCAAAGTTGTTTAGTCAGAGGTTATCCAGCCAAACTTCAATGTTGTTGTTGGGGGGGGGGGGGTGGTGGTGAAGGGAAGTATTTGTAGTTGCCAGTGCTTTCATTTCTCTCTACATTTTTGTCCAAGATTGTAGATTGATTCTCATTCACGAGTTTAACGAATTAGGGCTAGGAGACAAGGAAAATTGAAATTTAACCTGGGTTAAAAAATAGCAACCTGAATATAATTATTTTTTAACATAGCCCCTTTAATTTAACTCCATCTGTGCCACATATTTGCTGCAATATGGGGGAAGAGTGACCCATCCCAGGACATAAGCATATTTGTAACCAAGAGAGACATAAACCATACACACCTTTTTCTTTTGCTTCAACTCATCATCTCTTTACGTTAACAAGGGGCTAGCAACTGAGATGTCAGTTTTCGAATCCTTTTACAGTGGCAAAGTAACTTTTGAACTCTATGGTGACTTAACAATTTTTGCCTTTTTTTCTTTGTTAGAGCTGGTATTGTGTCAGTGAGTATCAACTTGATACTCACTGATAATACTACAATGAATATAAATATTTCTTCATTTTTTGGAGACTTAACATTTGATCAGCGAATTTTGCAAAATAACATCCATGTGTTTTTTTCTAATTTACACTTTCAGGACTGACCTTCAGTTATACTGTATCTCTAAAGATGGAAACATCGACACCATTAAATCCAGCTGCCTCAGTGACTACTCATTAGATGATTATGTGTCATTTTATCTTGGGTGTAGCTTTTCCTTTGAGGAAGCAATGATAAAAGCAGGAATTCCTCTTCAAAACGTCTCTGAGAAAAGGAATGTTTCAATGTTTATAACTAACATTCATTGTAAGCCCGTTGGGCCATTTTCTTGTCCAATGGTTGTTTCAATGCGTCCCATTCCAAGAGGGCTTGTAGAAAAAGCAGTCATTGTTACAGCAGCTTATGATGCAGTTCACGGAGCACCAATTCATGTTGGAGATCCATCTGTTATAGGAATAGATGATATAAACAACACAGACTTTGGTGACCCTTCAGACATTGATGATCTTATACCCATGTTTTGGGCTTGTGGTGTAACATCATCACTAGCAGTAAGATCAGCAAGTAAGAAAAGTTTTGTTAAGCTTAGTCTGTACACTGCCGTTTTGTTTTATTTTTGTTTTCATTCTTTTTGAAAACATCAGCGAGCAGAGATCGAGCGAGAAAGAAAAATTAAGTCTAAAATTTTCTTATTTCCTCCCACTACCCCCATGTGCTGGCAGTCAATAAATGTCCCCTGCTTACCACTATGTTTTTTGTCACGCATGCTCGATGGCCTTTGAAGGGAAAATAGAGGGTCTGTGAACAGGCTATGTTCAGCTAACAAATAAACAAATAGATATTTTATGCAAGTGTATCTGTTCATGCAGTTATAGATTACAAAAGACATCAAAATGTGATATGAACAAGAGTCAGGTGCATTGAGTGTCATCTTCTTTAAGATACAACTAATTAAAATAGAAAATCTCTTTTAAAGCAATTTTAAATGAAGTTACTTTTCCGGTTTGCAGAACCTTCACTGTGCTTCAGCCATAGTCCTGGTTCAATGTTTATTGCAGACATTTCTGTTAATGAATATTTCAAACTCCATAAACCACAACATGGTGATGAACAACCAAGGCTTATCACTCTGACAGATCAACCCTACCTTGCTTCTGTCTGTTCTGACACTGCGCTGATGAAAGTAGAAGATCTGGCTAAGATATCTGCTGACCCAAGCAACACTGGAAGTACAGAAGATGTTGTGGTGACTAGTGAATTCTTGAAGAGTGCAGTGAGATTATCCCATGCCCCGTCTGTTGTTATTGGCTTTCTTGGAGGAAATGAAAGCTCTATAGATTATATCCAGGGAGTGATGGCTCTTGTCAAAGCTCTTCAAGCCTTGAACAAGCAAATAACTGTTGTTATGCCTCAAAATTCACAACAATTTCAGGATAACATTGAAGCATATGCATCCCAAGGACAAATCTCCAAAGACAATTTCCATGTGGTTAAATGTGATAGGAATTGTGATGTTAACGAGGCAGTCTTTCAGGGAGAAATCAATCACAGACGTGACACAGTGATCGCATTTCAGCTTACCAGAACCCCTGAAAAGGCTGACTTTAAAGATCCAGTGGAAAGTTTTTTCCAAGAAGGTGGTTAATTTTTTGGTTTGAATGTGCATACCTTTACCCTTTCCGTAAATTAAAGTACTTTGTCGAACTAAGGAAGAGGCATGAAGAAGGAAAAATTCTGGATTTTTGTCAGTACCTCTGTTCCTGAGATCTGTGAAAATGCAGCTGATTTTTAGAAAAACCATTTACTGGTTTAAAAGATGGTGTGCAATTAATGACACTTTACTTCTAATGTAGCCATATCCCATGGACTCTTTCTTTGTGTCACTGCTCTCATTCAGTACAATCTTCTTTTTCAGTAAATGGTACTTGCTTTCCACGGCAATGTAATGTTGATCCTAGCAGTATGCTTATTCTGGGTGCACCACACATGAACCAAGTATATGCCCTGGATTTACTCAAACTTTATTAATTTTTGTGCTTTTCTCAAGCAGTAAGGAGCCAGGAAAATGGAATTGTGTCCATAAAGATCACTGAAGTTGAAACTATCCCATCAGTAGATCAAGCCATGGACAGCCACACATTGATCACCAGCTCATTGAAGGTGGCTGGGTGTGGTCTTGCTGCTGCTCTCTATGTTCTTAACAAGTGTCCAATTCACTCACGATATGTGCGGCATGGTATTGGGAAGAAACAAGTATATCAAGTTGAACAGTTTAAACTGCATGGAGTTGAGGTACGAATGCTTAAATTGAGAGCTTTTCAGCAATGGTGTAGGTGTGACCTTTCATGTTGGCAGTTAACAAAACCAGGATTGGACCAGATCGAACAACTTGTAACCCTATCCCCAACCTTTTACCATTAGTGAGTTACAGGGATTAATTCAATTCAGTTCTTTCCAGGTCTTGTTACCCTTTTTTTATGTTCTTATGATACCAACTGAAAGCTAAATAAGCAGTGCTCTTCTGTTAGTCCTTTAAGTCCCAATACTGACTAACGTCAATTTTCTCCTAACAATATCCATACAATGTCAAGCGATTAGGTTATGAGAATTAATAAAATGATCACCTAAGGGAAAATGCCCTGATCTTTTATCAAATTCTCTCAACTCATTCATGAAGGAAATGTATGGAGGTCAGTTTGGAGAATTTGTATGTGGATATTGGGGCTAAAAGGGTTAAACTCTAACCATTTATGTGACAGATATTTGATAACAGATGTTTGTAGAGGGGTGGGTGGTGGGGCAAGTTTGTGATCCTCTGTCTGTCCTGCTTCATGTAGGCTGATGTGAAAATGTCACACTCACCCTGACATAAACTTCCTCACCCTTGCCTCACTATACCACAGGTGGCCCAAGCGTAATATGAGAGTTTGTATGGGAAAAATAGAGTTTGAAACTTAGACGAAATAAATGAAGTAAAAGCGATAAAAGTTCTCAATTAAGTGTAAATATTGTTACCTGGAGTCGTTGTCTTTGCTTTTACGAAGTTTCAGCGTGATTTGAGTACTTTTACATCATCTGACCTGACAGTGTAATATTATTACACTGTCAGGTCAGATGATGTAAAAGTACTCAAATCGCGCTGAAACTTCGTAAAAGCAAAGACAACAACTCCAGGTAACAATATTTACACTTAATTGAGAACTTTTATCGCTTTTACTTCATTTATTTTGTCTAAGTTTCAAACTCTATTTTTCCCATACAAACTCTCATGTTACGCTTGGGCCACCTGTGGCTATACAAACATCTGTAAAATTTTGCAACCCTTCCAGTGCTGTACCTTTGTTAGTGTTCAACAGATCACTTTTAATCTTGGCGGGCCCTGTAACTTATTTAAGGCATTGTTTAAAGTAGTGTTAACAGATTTTTGCGAGCTATTCCAAGTCAAAAGATGAAAAAAGAAAAGCATGGAAGTGATTGTTGAACCACAATAACATATGCACCATTTCATTGGCTCCAAATTCTGATGGAAAGATCAACTTAAGGTTGTAAAGTGTTATGCTAGGTGCATCAGTGTTACCTTTAAGTGATTGTCAAAGACACGTTTATTTTGACTAATGACTCCTACTATCTTTTGTCTTATAGGAAGAAGTTTGCAGCCGTATGTTCCAGATTGTAACAGGAAGTTGATGTACCGTAATCTGTTTATTTGTCTCCATTTTTTCTTTTGCAACCACAACCCACTCTGATATAAAGGTGACTAGGTCGCCTAAAACTTATCAAATAATTATAATTGAGATATTATTCTAGGTTTTTTTGGGACAGAGGGGAAGTCTACGTACAACACATGGAAAGTTTCTCTCTGCGAACACTTTTACTAGCCGTCGTATTTAAAAGTACGTTATCTCTCCGGGAGGGGGTACTCAAGAGACGTTTAGGTAGAAGTGTGTCTCCAAGGCCTTCTAACCTTGCTGTTGAAGACCCTAAATAGTGAAATTGTATACCCTGTTTAAAACTCCCGGCAGACCGTGAAAACCATACCCCCTCACAGCAAGACATACCCTACTATCACTCCCAAGTAGCTCACCGTGGGCGTTAGGAGCGAAGACGACTGGGGACGAGTCAGCGTTTAGGCCAAATAAGGGAGTGCCCCCGGGGGGTATCCCGCCCTCCACCTGAGAGAAATTCATGATTAAGCAACAGCTGTAACATTACTCATTTTATTTATTAACAGAATTAAAAATACGATCAACTATCGAAAAAATTTGTCTCTTTTATAAATTAACTTGACAGCTATCGTATTAAATATCAATATAAATACAACGTTCTGGATATTCTCAAACAAGTAAATTCTACTTTGTGTCATATATTTGCATCGTAATTCGATAGAAAATTTATTTTAAACTGACATTAAAAAGTTTCAGCACCTTGATCATCAAAAATAGAACGGCTTATAGCACCAATTGACTAGAAAAATCTATTTTCATACTGGATAGACGCAAGGGGCTTTCAACTCTTCTCATAATCAAGTTTGACCTCTAGTAATATAAATGCCTAATCGGTCGACGATTAAGGATATGATAACTAGAGATAAATTACCTAGCACAACTTTGTTATCACTACTACCACAACAACTGAATGGAATCAAGTATGGAGAAGTAGTGTTTTGATATTGTGATTAAAGAGTTTATTTACACCTAATTTTTGATAAACATACAATTTTACCCAAGCTCAAAACACATCCTTTTCACTACGCCAAACAAATTTTCCGCGGGTTGATTTACCTGCAGCAAACCAAACGTTGCCGACAGAAGTACTAGTGTATCTTACACTCTTAATGATGCAATAGCTCTTTATTCTTAACCCTGACTCAGATTGATTCCTATATTTACAAATCCTGTCTTAATCCTTCAAGCCCCAATATCCACATACAAATTCTCCAAACTGATCTCTATATATTTCCTTAAAGAATGTGTTGAGAATTTGATAAAAGATCAAAGCATTTTCTCTTAGATGATCATTTTATAAGCTCTCATAACCTGATATGTTGACAATCTATGGATATTGTTAGGAGAAAATTGATGTTGGTCACCATTGGGACTTAAAGGGTTAAGGAAATGCTGTGCCATCAGTTAAGGACTCTAGTGCTGATCTCTCAGACGTGATTTGCACCGGTTAGACTCGAATGGCATTACCTCAGTGCTTCACTGAGATATCACATGAAAGGCGAAAAGATATATGCAGCAGCCGAGAAAACAACTAAGCCAAATCTGTGCAATCAACGCCTCACGAAAGCTAGTGCATGTTTAGGCACACGAACGGCAGGAGAGTATCAATTATTTCACACGAATGTGATGCTAGCACTCATCTGCAGAATTGTTGAAACCATCACTGAAACCTCGATCTCAATTAAATAAAACCTAAAAAGCTTTCGAGGCTCGGTAATTATCGGGACTTCTGATTAACCTGGCCCTCGATGGAGCTTTGTACCGTTTTGACTAGAATAGCACTACCTCCGTGCTCGATGGAGCAAAACATCCACTAGCTGCCAGTCACACGATTTCTAGGAAGATTAAACTCACTGACTTTTGGAGAAAAGAGTGTATGCGAGAACGAATTAAGCAAAAAGGCAATAGAATAAGGTCTATTTGGAACGATAATGTTCTTATCAGGATTGGACAAATAAACAGAATCCAGGGCTCTAACCAATCATTTGACTCCACAGTAAGTGGCTCTTTTTACGTCAGCAACAAACTCAATTACTTGGCCTTCCGTTGATTTCAGCATAGTTTACTCCATAAAAATTAAATAAGAAACAACTTTCATGGCGACCTGGTAACACCAATCACGTCCTCGTAAATCTGGTTCATTGGACGAGATACAAAAAAATAATAATAATAATAACACGATACAAATAACCACGAGGGGACTGTCACCATAAACACGCAATTCCAGAAATTGTTAAACACATCCGTACTCATACCAAATGGATGATTTCTTTCCCTCTGCTTCCTTAGTTCCTGCAGATCTTGAACGCGACCTCTCCTCCGCGATTGACCTTCGTCCCGGCGCAGTGGAGCCAGTTTCTGATGAAACAGGCGATGACACGGGCAAATCAACGAATATTTCCCTTTCCTTTTCCTTGGTCGCTTTCTTCGCCTTACTGCGCACCTTTCGCAGCGCTGGGGAGCAATCACGGGTCTGTTGAGACGATACAGACCTCGCGTCGTCGTCATCGTCATTGTCATCGACAAACGACTGAGATGCAAGTGGCGGGGATTGATGTTCCATTTCGAGCATACGCGCACGCACGTTTGAGATATTCTCCTTCGACGCTTCCTGAACACCCCCCGCGTTTATTTGCAGTTTAGTTTCGTTTCTGTTCTCGTCTTTTAATTCGTTCGCAGCCGGTTTTAATTCTACTGGGTTTGAACCGGAACCGTTCCGTGGCAAAGAGGAAGTATAGCGTGACGTTATACTAGTGTCTACATTTGCCCCATCGCGAGACGTTGGCGGTGAGGAGTAAAACGTGTTGGCGGTATCATTAAACACAACGGCATTGGCACGAGAAGAAGGTTGATCGCGAGACAGTGTTGGAAAATCACGTGATGGCAGCGTGTTCCTTGCGGCTGGTATTACGCGCTCATCTCCGTACTTGTCTCGAACAACAGCGTAAACAGACGAAGAGCTGGCTTCCGCTCGGGTCAGCGGTGCAGACTTCGAATTGACACCTGTTGCTACACCGGAAGTGGCCGGTGGGATGGGCTCAGCCTTAGCAATAGTTCCAGTAGTGACGTAATGGGCTGTAACAGGGACGCTTTGGGGCGGTGTTGATGACGCTACAAAAAGCGTACCAAGGCGCTTGGATGATCGAAGTCCATCATTCTTGTCAGCAATAAGACTCCTCGAATGGACAGGACCCAACTGAACAGTGTCCCGGTTTGGACCACCTTTAGCCTGCTCTGTCGGAGTGACCCTAAGGCCACTATTTCTGTCGCCGCTAAGGCTCCTTTCTCGTGAATGGGCCATACCAGTTTGCCTAGTGTCACGGCTGGGACCATCCATAGCATGAACTATCGGAGTTACTCTGAGGCCACTATTTTTATCACCGCTAAGGGTCCTTTCCCGTGAATGGGCCGTATCGACTTGACTAGTGTCACTATTGGTTCCATCCCTAGTCTGTATTATAGGAGTTACCCTAAGTCCACTATTTTTATCTCCGCTAAGGCTCCTTTCTCGTGAATGAGCCGTGCCGGGTTGATCCGTGTCACGGCTTGGGCCTTCTCTTGCTTGTGCACTCTGAATCGATCGAGGCACATCGTTTCTGTTTCCGCTAGAGCTCCTGTTTCGTATATGCTGAATATTAGTCCGAGACTGCTCTGCAGCCTGAATATTCTTCTCTCCACTAAAGCTCCTTTGCCGTTGAAATCCTCTCGGGGTGGATGTAATAGGCTGCTCATGTCTACCATCACTGTGTTGTCTCAATTCGTGATACGGAGGAGTGGAATTGGACACATCACCGTTAAACCGGTGCTCTTGAGGACTACTTTGAACGCCTTGCAAGACAAGTTTTTCCTGATCTTCCTGGAACGGCGATGACGCTGTATAAGTCGTGTTTGAGGGTGAAATAATAACTGCTACTCTGGGTTTAGCTGGTTCTGTGGAACGTTCCCGCACTGGTATAGTGTCCAGACTCTGATTATCGCGATTGGGCACACTAGAACGCCGTGGACCTCCCGGAGGCGATGAAAACGTATCAACATTCTCCTTCCTGCTCAAAATAGGAGAGTGTTTGGGGCTTCGGGTTGGAGTTCTCTCTCCCAGCTTCCTGGCAAGAATAGGAGATAAGCGTGGACTTTCCGTTTTCCGAGAGGATGTTGGAGATGGAGGGGAGGGTGGAAAAGGCTCCAACCCTATTGAGAACTCCTTTCTTGCCACATTAGGTGAAATATTAGGACTGCTCTTCGCCCACTGGGGCTTTCTCAAACCCTTGGGGGAAGCAGCCGGACTAGCGTGTTTCAACATTCCCTGCTTTTTAGTCCTTGGCAAAGTGCTGCTTAAGTCATCTTCACTCAAGTGTCCATCCCTCGACCCCGTGTCACCCGGAGTAAGGGTCGAAGAACTGCTCGGCAGTTTATCCAGCGCATCCATGCTCCGTGGCCTTCCAAGCCTTCCAGGTGACCAATCACTGTCGGTAAAGATCTCCGAGCGTACTTGGCGCGCTCGGAACGCCGACATATCGTGAGTGGCGGAACGAAGACGCACGGATTCCACCTCTGCTTGTCGCGGCAGGACCGGTGTGCTGACGTAAGGTGACGAGTAACCTTCTCTCGGCCGCCTAAGGACGACGTCGGACTGGGCACTAATCAGGCTAGAATTCAACAAACTTTTCGTGGCTGCTCTAGAGTCCCCGGATGTGGAGCTTTCCCTTGAGCCTTCACTGCCTGTCTCATCACGCCTGGTAATAGGCGTGGCTACGATTGGTGACCCCTCTTGGTTGAAGGAATCAAACTCCTCAAGATATAAACTCTGGTCGATTTTAGTAAGCTGTACACTGTTGCGTTTGTTCTTGGAGCTCTCATCTTTCTTCTGCTGAATACAAAAATAAGAGAGAAAAAAACTTGTTACCTTGTGAGATTTTCTTCGACAAAGGTGTTTTGATTTTCTGGGTACCGTTGATGGGAACATCA